TCTTAAAATAAGAAACTAAATTAAAATGATATATACATATACATATATATATTCAGAGTAATTTAATTCAGATTAAAATTAATTTTCCAAAATTTTTTGATATCATGAAAAAAAAAAAGATGTCTAAAAAAAGTAGGAAACTAAATCAAAATGATATATGTATATTTAGAGTAATTTAATTCAAATTAAATTAATTTTCCAAAATTTTTTGATATCATGAAGAAAAAAGGATGATTTCATTAATTATTTACCTGTAAAACAATCACCAATTTTATCAGTAATAAAAATACATTCTATAATAGAAATAGGTAAATTCGAAGAAATGAAAATTCGTGATCCACCAACTGGAATAATATTTTTATTTCCTTCATATGGTCGTATTATTGTTCTTTCCGTATCAAATTTAAGCTATAATAATCATTATGTCAATATTATTAATGATTATTATGAAATTGTTAAACATTTTGAATTCATAAAGGATGTTATTTAAATTTTTAATTCAAATTTTTTTTTTTACATTTCAAAAAATTCATGAATAAATTTATGGATTAGGATGAATTTCTAATTTAAAAAAAGAAAATCTATCATATATTTGCTGATTGTTGCATATATATATTTGATAAGATAAAGTGATAATAAATTGAAATGAATTACTGAATAAAACTAACTCTAGTATATGTATTCGGTTTAACATTAACAGTATCTTTTGGTAATTCTTGCATACTTTCATCTTTCCCAAGGCCAATATCGTATTCTATTGTAACTATTGCTGTCTCATTTTCTGATGCATTAATAATTTCAAAGGTAAGACAGGTAACATTTGATATTTTTATGCTCCATGGAAATAATGTTACAAATTCAGTACCAAATGTATCTGGATAATTTTTATCAATTTCCATTATTGTCATTTGTACAATCACTGCAATTATTTCACTTCACTTTTTTTTTTTTTTATTTTTTAAAAAAATCCCTTAACGTATCAAAACAATTTTGTTTATCGTTTTATGTTTTTCCCGTTTTTTAATATTTAAATATTTAAATTTTTAATATAAATATTTAAATATTTCAATTTTTTTATTTATTTTTTAATATTTATATTGAAAAATTTTACATTCTAATGAATTTATATTCTAATTCTAGCATTAGCAATTTGAATTATTGTAGGGTTAATTTAACATTTGTATCGCTAAATTTTGTTTTATGCCTTATAATCTAAAGTATTTAAATGATGATTATCAGTATTCGATAATCACATTTTAGACTAAAAAATTTCTTGATCCTAAGAAAGATTGCGTAATTTTATGGTAATTTGGAATATTTTTGTTTGAGATATTTTTGAAAACTTTGTAACACATGTTCCGGAATATTCTAGCACTAAGTATCTCTAAATTACTGTCATCATTCTCATGTCACCTTCTTGCTCGAAAACATATTTATATTATTTTAGCAAATCATTCATAAATATGATCGTTAGTATTTTAACGATTTGGTCGATTTATTGAATTATAGGAATTGTACAAGAAAAAGTTGTAATAGTAATGGTGACTCATAAATTGAAGCTTAAATAAGGATAAGTTCATTTTAGGAAAGAATAAAAGCTTCAAAAAATTTCACTTGACACTTAATAACAGTAAATTAGCTGTGAAAAGATTGTTTATATTACCTGTAAAGTAAATTAGCACTTCAAATTTTCGAAACATATTGCGTATCAACGAATGTAAATGCTTGAATTCAAATATAAAAATGAATTTGAACTGAAATTTTATCCAAAATTTTTCGATTAATTTAAAGATTTAAGAAATTATTTTTGATTTGTTAATTTTTGCTTTTTTTCGGAAAAGCTTTTACCAAAATATTATTATAATGTTGCTTTAAATGAATTTTTACTTTTCAAAATTTCCTGCAGAAAAAATTTTTATTCTTTAAATGAAAAACTATAAAAATCATTATATGATTTTATATTACATATTAAACGACTAATTAATTAAGTAATATCATTTCATCCTTTTTTTTCCGATAATAATAATAAAATAAAACTAATCAATTGAATAATATAATTCCACTTTTTTTTTATTTTTATTTTTTGATAATAATAATAGAACAAAAAAAAAAATTATTTACTTGAATTTATTTTTGTTTTACTATTACATATTAATTGAATGGAAATTCCTACATATTACAAATAATATCAGTATAATAAAATTTAATTTTTTCTTTCTTACTCATATACACAATTTAAAATATTTAGTAAAAAAAAAAAAGAAAAAATGAAATACAACCAGCCAATAAAGTGGAAAAGTGATAAATGTAACGCAAAATATCACCGTTTATGTTTTTATAATAAAATTTTAATTGAAATATTTCAGGTTACTTATTATTTAATTATTAACATATTAGTGGTAATCATTAGTGTTCATTTTTTTTCTTTCTTTTTTTTTAATTTAAAAGAAAATGATAAGCATTTAAAAATTATGCAAAAAAATTGGAGCATAAGAATAAACATTAAATATGCTATGAATTAGCTAAGATTAAGCTTAATTATGTAGAATATTTGTGCGAAAGGTTGTTATTACAAATTTTTTATTTTTTCATTTTATTTTTTTTTTTTGCAAAACATTGTTATTTCTATAAAAACAAAAAATAAAAAATAAATAAATAAAAGAAAAAAAAATAAAAAAATTAAAAAAAGTAGAATCCAAACAATAAAAAAAAAGAAATAGAAATTCAAACAGTTTAAGCATACTTTTGCGCATTTTTTATTCTTTAAATATTAATTTTTATCAAACATTTTACAAGAAAATTAAAATGATGAACATTTTACTCCGATTGATATTTTTGTTTTTCATTTTTGAATTTAAATTTAAATGTTTCTTTTTTTTGTTGCCAACAATAATCGATTATTGGATATTGTTATGAATTAAAACAATTTATTCCATTTTTTACACTCGTCTTTTTTTTTTTTTTTTAAATGAATAAATATTTGTTTTATTTTCGTTGTAATAAATACAGGAAATTGTATTAGTTTTCCGGTTTTCAATTATGATTTTTTCTTTTTCCTGAAAATTAAATAATTATCTCCAATGGGTATTATGTATTGATTTATTATATCAATCTAAAATGTAAGCTAAAAGTATCCATCAATTGTATATTTATGGATTTTAAGCAAAGTGATCCATTTCATATGCGCTAATAGGATGAAGTGATAATATTACTTTATGATCATAGAATGATAACAATGATATTCCTGCCTATTTTAAGGTGGAAGAGGAAAGGATCCTAAGCCATCATGAAACATTTCTTCAAGATATGTTATTTTAGCAAAGATCGTTTGAATAGATGATATCGAGCATTGGATGGATTTTCTTTTTCTCACCTGATAACCTCATTAATTTATCTTATCAAAAATTATAATTGTTAAGTTTGTTGTTGTATTAAATAAACTTATCGTAAATAAAGATTTAATTATTCAACATTTATGATACTATCAATCAAAGAGAGAGAGAGAGAGAGAAGAAAAAAAACTCTCATAATCTTTATTATAATGGAAGAAAATTATTAAAATCTATTGATATGCGAATAAATTATTGAAAATAATAAAATTATTTTTATTATTAAAGTAAAATAAATAAATGCATAATAATTTTATTTGTTGTATTTTATTTCGTTCATCATTTTAAGATATTTAGTAAATGATTTGATAAGTAATCAATCAATTGTTATTTATTATATTGTAATTGTTAACATCAATTAAGTCATTAAATCAATAGTAGAAGACATCGGAGGTCAAGGAATGATTTATTTTTTTTGTTTTGATGATGACCTTTTTATTAATTGTAAAAGACATCGGAGGTCAAGCAATGTTATTTTTTTTTGTTGATAATGACCTTTTTTTTATTAGAGTATAAAATTATTTTGTTAAATTTTTATTCCTTTTTTTTTTAAATGATATTATTATTATTAAAAAAGAAAGAAAAGCACGAAACTCATCCCGTAAAAGCTTCATATTATGCAGTATTAAAATATTTTCAACAAATTATGAAATGAATTTTAAAGTCGTTCTTTTTTTTCATTTTTGAATTTTCCTGATAAAACCTACAGATGTAACAAATTTTCAGTAAAATTTAACAAACAGAACTTAAAACTGGTTATCAAAAATATCAATCATAATTAGATAATTTGTATTATCCAATTCTTCCTGTAATTTAAAATTTATATTTGTAAAAATCCCTACCTAAACAGTTGTTTAAGACTATGACAATTTTAAATGATTTGAAACGTGAAATATTAATTTATCAAATTTGTTAGATTCGTTAATTTAATCAAAGTACGCACAATGCTCAATGATATTTCTGTATTTTTGAATAATTCCGACAAACAATAAAATAACTGATAATAATCAATTATCATAAATGATAATCAATTCAATTAAGCCTATTGTATGGTATGAATATTAAAATAAATGGAAAATATTCGATAATAAAGTAGAAACGATCGGATGAAAAAGAGAAAGATAATGGGAAAAGTACGGAAGCTGAACAAACAAAATCAATAAAAGCGGGTTATTTTGATAAAATATTCCGGATCCGTTATTTACTCTCCGATAAAAAGGTTGACATTCCATAATTCTATCTAAAAATCTCCATTGATTATATCAAAACATTTAAAAAG